ATCCCGCCCATTTCTGTCCAAATCACAGAGATGCCTATTCGCATCGGATTAGTATTGTCACAGGACCTCGGAGTTCAGCAAAATATAGTAGGTAATTTGTGGAGGAATTTTTACTTTACAAATTACTGACATGGCTGATTTGCACGGGATTAACAACACAGACTATCTCCGTAATTGTCATATCGCGGGGAACCCAGAGCTGTACGAGACCAGAAAGGACAAGATTCAGTTTAGAAAAAGATAACAGTGTTTATTATATACAGTGTTATTTACAGGTGGTAATCTCTTCGGAAGATCCTGGGGAAGAGAGTTGGTTCAGTGAAGGTCCACTTGTAGGATTGTACACAGTGAATGTTTGCTTGTATTTCTCTTACAGATGGAAGCGCAGGTGTTAAACATGGATGAAATCCTACAGAAGATGCCAGAGAAGAGAGACCAGGTTGCAAGGGCAAGGTAGGTTGAACAGGCATGTGGCTGGAAGGCGAGGCACAGAGAACAGGGACCAGAGACAACGGGGTTTCCAGAACAGGACAGGATTCGAGGAAGCAGGATGACTGTGGGCACAAGAACAAAGGTAAGTAATATTTGTTTATCACAACGATTTACTGGCCATAAGCATAAATACTGAAATGGGTACAATGCTCCAGCGAAGAGTCACACTGGACTGCAGCCTTAAATAGTAGAGGAGCCTCTTAGGTGGATGGACGACAGCTGGTGGTAATCAGCGGCCATCTTGGAGGAGGAGCTGCAGGCAGTGGGACTCTTACAGTAATTACTACAAATAGCATGTGGTCCTAAAACTAATCCCGTGCGAATAGGGCTTTAGCCTACACAAAAATGACTTACTCAGGTAATTAACAAATACTGAGCAGAATGTTGGTGTGGTAGTATCAGTCATTCACAAAACATACTTAAAGTGTGAACAGATCATGTGAGATAATGCAATATTGCATGAGACTGCACGTAACATTGGATTTGACCGAAATGACAACTCTGTCATTTCTCAACATACTTAGTTTAAATCTCCTTCTTGAAAGGCTGCAGTGGGCAGTTCTTTTTTTTTAAAAATGCTATTAAAAATTGATTCAGAATATTTTCTTCCACACACACAGTGAAGTCAAATCCTAAATCATAGGCACGTTGAACAACGTAAGCGTTGCTAAACTCCACTACTAACTCTGAAAATATTCCTTAATGTCAGAAGCTCTTGCTCTTAGAATGTGAGAGAGAAAGACTGGAATGTGAGAAAGTCCCTGACTATAAAACCCGTGGAAATATTCCCACACTCACTCATACAGCTGATTTGTGTTAGACATCATTACATCAATAAAATGACATCAGGGTTTCCTGCTGGCTGTCGCAAGAGAGAATGAGTGACACTGATCATAAGATCTGTGGAGGAGGGTGAAATCCTAAAAATGGTTATCTGAAGAAGATTTTTGTTAGCTGAAGAGTTTAAAGACATTTCCTCTGGGACTCGCCCACCATTGAAAAGTCAGGATACCGAGAGCTACACTGAGACCTTTTCTGCGCAGCTGTCCCTGAATCACTTGACAGAGATGCTGAAATCCTCACCTCTGAGACTTCAGCAGCCACCATTTTGATTTCATGCGGTTTGGGGCGCCAAATTTATTTTAGCTCAGAGCTGACTTAGATTTGATTTATTTCTTGTCACAAGTTTTGAAGAACATCTTGTTTTAAACCCTAAGTAAACTGTGAGTTTGATTTAGTTTTGGCCATGAACACCTGTCTCCCACAGGTCTATGAACAACAAAGATTACCCAGTTCACTGCTCCTTAAAAAAAAAAGAGCTCAAAGTCACATTCATACATATATCACCAATAACCAGTAGTTGGACTGAAGATGGGTGATGGAAAATGTTTACTGTCCAAATTTTAAAAGTCCCGGGGACGATAGATGAGGGAGCAGGATGAGATATGGGATGGTGAATTGGCTTAGTCTCTGCAACAATTAATGGGGTTGATTAGGGATGATGTCATAGGAATTGTGGGGAATCCCCGGCACTTCAGAGATTCCCCACAATTCGACACACCTTGTGCAAAATGGCTATGCATTTGTTCATGAAAACTTAAACAAAAACAACATTCCTACTTCTAGATCCCAAATCAACTTGAAATATATTGAAGGATACAACAATACACAGCTCGTGCTCTGGCTACAATGCTGGAGACTATCAATGTCCAGCAACCAGGCTGATAAAAAGTTATGTGTGGTGTTCCTGGTGTTTCCGTGCTGATTCGTGCTCTTTTGCCTTGGTGAAAAAGATCCATCCATCCATCCATTATCTTTACCCGCTTATTCCATTTTGGGTCACGGGGGTCGCCGGTGCCCATGTCCATCAATCACTGTGCGAGGGGCGGGGTACACCCTGGACGGGTCGCAAGTCCATCACAGGGCCACAAAGAGACAAACGAGACAAACAACCATTCACTCTCTCACTCACACCTAGAGACAATTTAGAGTTACCAATCAGCCTAACATGCATGATTTTGGTCTGTGGGAGGAAACCGGAGTACCCGGAGAAAACCCACGCATGCACGGAGAGAACATGCAAACTCCACCCAGAAAGGCCCCTGGACCGGGGTTTGAACCAAGGACCTGCTCGCTGAGAGGCAGCAGCTCTACCAGTTGCGCCACCGTGCTGCCCGGTGAAAAAGATGACAGAAGATTTCATACATGATTCGTGTCACTGATTTGCCACATGCTTTACTGTGGCAGGGTGCCATAGTGGAACAACCAGTTTGTTGTTGACATTCAAAACTAGCTGTTCACATGATAAAGGAGGACCATCAGACTAATGATCGATCTTTAGTGCTCTGATGGCCACTTGCTATTCACAGGGCTTAGTGATAGTAGCAATAACAGCATTGTAAGAAGGTGACAATTGGACACGGAGGCCTCTGCCCCATTTAATGATGGACGGTTTCTCTTCACAAAGATGGCTTCCTTTAGTCCTCTCTCAAACCAACATTTCTCTCTATCAAGGATGTGAATATCTTCATCCCTGAAAAAGTCATTGCTGGCTTGCAAATGTGTAAACTGCAGAGTCCTGGCCTGATGAGGTTGCTCTTCTGTGCTGGATCATTCTTTTGGCCAGTGGCTGTTTAGTTTCCCTGATGTAAGACTGATGTTACATCAGTCTTACATTCATTCCCTGATGTTAGTTTCCCTGATGTAATATAAAAATAACAGAGAGTCGGTCCCAGCAGTTCTTCCTACGATTTTATCTTCAAATGGTGCTCCAGTTGAGTTTGTTGATTCCTACAAATATTTGGATATCTTGGTCGACTCGCATCTCTCTTTTAAGATTCACGTGGAAAACCTAGTAAAGAAACTGAAAGTTAAACTGGGTTTCTTTTTCAGAAATAGATCTTGTCTAACTCTGAATGCTAGGAAACACCTTGTAACTGCGACTTTCCTTCCCTCCATCGACTACGGTGACATCATTTACATGAACGCTCCTACAAGCACCCTGCAGATGTTGGATGTTGTCTATCACGGTGCACTAAGATTTATAACTGGCTGTAACTACCGTACCCACCATTGCACCTTGTATTCACTGGTTAACTGGACATCATTCACTTCACACAGACTCTCCCACTGGTACATTTTCATCTTTAAATCACTTCTTGGTCTGCTGCCTTCATTCATCTCCTCCTACATGTCTCTGCGTGAGTGCAGCTACAGCGTGCGCTCTCAGGACATTATTACCTGCAGTGTTCCCTCAGTGAGGACTGAACTAGACAAAAGGGCCTTCTCCTACTCCGCTCCTGTTTCCTGGAACATCTTGCAAAAACATCTGAAGCTCTCGGCCTTGACCTCTTTAAATTAAATAAATCCTCTATAAATTAAATTGGCTTCAAACATCTGCTAAGTTCCTGTGAAAAATCAATGCAGACATGTTCTTATTTTTAGTTTTCTGTATTGTCTTACAACCTAGCTGTTTTTTTTTTTTACATTTTCTTTTAAATACCGTTTTAGTTTCACTTGTTAAAAAAATCTCAATTTGTATGCATCCTTTATGATCGTCTATTGTTGTCTTTGTTGTCCACTATTGTCATAGCTGTTAAAATCAGGTCTCTCTTGTAAATGAGTCCCGAGGCTCAATGGGATTAACCTGTATCAATAAAGGTTGGAAAAAAAAACAGGTCAGGTGCGGACAGAAACATGAAAGTGTTTATTGTTGTGCAGGATTATTTTTTTATTGTCCTATGTGTTGAAATGGGGATGAGTTGAAAAGTTTGATAGCCACAGAGGAAGGATTTTGTGTGGCGTTAATAAACAAAGGTTTATTGTATTCTTGTTTTATATTGTTTGGAGTGGCTGCAACAATGTTGATTTTTTATTATCTGTGGAGATAATAAAGTATTTCTATTCTATTTATATAATCATAAACATGCTAGAGCTGCTTTACATTTAGAAACAAAACAGAATAGTTTCTGAATTTGAGGATTTTGTCAAATGATTAACCAGCTACAGCTTGGTGGTCTGGGCCACCTTATAATCCTGAGGTTGCGGGTTCAAGCACATCTTGCACCAGGAAGGGCAACCAGTGTAAAAATAAAAAAGGCCAACAAATAACTCATGTGATTTTTTTGCTCACTGTGGCAACCCCTGCTGAAAAGAGCGGCCAAAAGAAGCATACCTATATTGTACATAAAAGTCAACAAAAAAAATCTTAAAGAGTTGAAGGCTGACTTTAAATACCGGAAATTGCTATGAATGTATTTGTGGCGTGGCGCCTGATTTTACGCATGCGCATTAGTAGCATCTCTGTCAACATGGCAGCCCTTCTGCATCGCCCAAAATTAATAAATATCAGCTGTCTTGTGGACTAAAGGACACTACATGGCGCCAGAGCACAACGTAAGAAAACGCTTGCTCCTTAACCCAAGTAAAACCTCCACCAGTCGTCGCTAAAACTCGAAAAACTGCAGCTTCTCGCCAAAATCAATCCCATAATCCTCGCGCGCACACCGGTGCTGTATTCATTTGAATGGTAAACCCGTGAAAGGCTAACACAGGAGGGAGTTGCGCTGTTCAACCAGTTATTCACGTTTTGGATTTACAGCCCCTTCAGCGGCCGTATTACTTGACAAAATGAACCGGTTAGTATTCAAAACCACTGTAAAAGTAGTAAAAATAGCTTTTTATATGAATTACCTTTCGTGAAGCCATACTTTATCCAAGGTGGGGAGCTAACCTGTTAGCATGGCCCTGCTAGTTACTTTCTGCGTCTCCGCGTCTTCTTCGTTATTGAGCTAAATGCTTTTAGTTGAGGCTAAAAAAAAATAACGTTAGCTAATTTTTGGTTGTGGAATGCAGCAGCGTACTCTTTTCAAAGTGGGTGTTTTATGCTAGCTGAAAGTAAAGAACTTTGCGAGTTAAGCTAAAACAGCCAACGCCTATTTAAATACGATGTTTATTCTAGTGTGTGTGTTTATCTGAACCGCACTCTGCGTCGGGGATAATGCAGGCAGCTATCGTTAGGTTGCTAGCTACGATAAGTAACTTTAACAAGACTTAAACTATCAATGATTGTCCTATTTTTCCCCCCCAACAGTGTCCCTTATGGCAGCTGGTAAGCATGTTTGGAAACGGGAAGTGTTTAAGGTCAACCACAATAAATCCAATGGCTTTCAGCGATCCTGTATGCATGTTTCTACTGAACAGACCATGAAGCAGGCATGAAGGTATGAAGCTCAAGCTCACTATATTAAGCATGTATGTGTTAAAGCCTGGTCATAGTGAAGTACAGTTCAGTGGCTTTGTAGCAGTAGAGACTGTGTTAGTGGCCTCATCCCCTATCCTTTTGTTTTAGGTGGATAAAATTAATAAGGAAGAATTAGATAAGGACAGGTGAGTCTTTAATTCATGTTTGTGGGGTTCATCCAGATGTGATCATTCACTCACCATCCTGCAGTTAATTGCCTCTCAGCCACTGGAACGTTTAGACCTCATCCCATGACCATATCACCCATGTGTGCAAATTTATATAATATAGTTTTCTAAACTACCACCACTTTTTGCCCATTTTGATGTCCTCTTTGGCAGATTTCACGTGCAGTACAAAGTGCAGAGTTCAGGGAAAGTGAAGCGGCCGTCGTCTTGCAAGAGGAAGAGCTGTTCGTCGGTGGAGGTGGGCATCAAGCTGCACCGCAAATCGTCAAATGTAGGCCATCCCCATGACCCCGGCATGGCCAACAAAGAAAATGAGCTGACGTGCTCTGATGATGTGCGGGGCATTCGCTATGACAAATACGGGCTGCCCGTGAACTCTGCAGAGGCTTCCAAGATGGCAGGAGCCAGCTCCAAGTACAGTGACTTTACTGAGGTGAGAAACAAAGCTGAGGCTGTTGCTTCCTTCCAAGGCATTCTATATGCTCACTTGTTCAGGTTTATCCTAAAAAAAATGTTTTAAAGGAATGTTTTTAATGCATTTTAATAAGTAAGTTATTTACCATCTTGTCTTGAAACTGTTTTCTCTGAGTAGTTGTCAAAGGAACATGAAGCTATGACTCGCATCCTTTTTGGAAGAGATCTTCGGCTTAAAGTCGCCCTAACGTTATGGCAAAGAAATGCCAGTGAATTAGTGTCCTACTTAATAAGGTAAAATCTTGATTGCATTTTCTAGTTTGCAGATATTTCTCAGTCATACAGCATACTTGATTTTTGTTTATGTTTGCTTCTCAGAATACAAGACACAGGTGTGCTGCTTGACTGCTTACCTGTCTTAACTAACAAGTAAGTCACATGAAGGTTTTTACATCTTGTCCAGTTTTTTTTCTGTCATTTTTCACATTTTAGCAGTATTTGAAAATAATCGTATGGATCTTCAATTATTAACTTTTATTATGAATTGTTAAATAAATCATGAATGAGGGGTGCTGTGTGTTTTAGAGGTAACGTTCATATAACGGATAGAACCAAATTTGTTCAATTTAAAAGTGAAAAGCTGTTAAAGTCACACTTTTTTAAGCGGGCAGATGCAACTTTTTGTTTTGCATAATAACTTAAAATGTGATGCAGCAAATTATTTAAATTATGACATTATTTATTATTTTGTGTCTTAACCTGCCCTAATATTAATTTAGTGCTCACACTATTGGCCATTGTGGCCAATTTAAGCAAAGCAACAAAATCTGGTTTCTTGTCTTTACAAAATATTCCTATTAGGTGTTTTAATCAATATTTTATCCATCATATTTATTTTTCTTTACCTGCCAACATTGCTGTTAATCATTTCATTTCTTTGAATTTGTTTTTCTTCAGCCTTCAAACTGAAACGCCATGTTTGTCACTTGGCTGCTGTGTTGACCTCCTTCCCCACATTAAAGGCGTTCTTTCCAGTGCATATGAACAGTAAGTTGCACTGCAAATATGATAAGTATAACAATTTTTATAGATGTCTTGAGCTTCATATTTTATAAACTTGTCTGTTTTTACTAATTTTTTTTTTCACAGGCACATAATGGTGGGTTTACACTGGGTTCAATCTGTCATCAGGAAGTGGTGGCCAGAACTGTCTAAAAGTGAGAAGAGACTGCGGGGCAGTTGTTCAGAAGACAGGTGGGCGTCTTCATGTTTGAATACAGTCTTATAGAACCACTAGACTTTAATGGTGGGAAAGACAGCTGGTCATTGAGATCTAACAAGAGTTGTTGTAACACAAACTAATACTGGTTAAAATGGATTTCATACCTGTGATGTTTAAAGTGCAAACTATGGACACAGATGTATGTTCTGGAACAACCTGATCCCTGAATGCCTCGAGGCACTTTCAGAGGTTTTGTGTAGTTCATGCTGAAACAAATAGTTGCTGCTTTAGGTCGTTTTCACACTAGATAGTCCGGTAGACTCGGTTCGGTTTGGGACCAATATTCATGAGCTTTTGTTTACATTTGAGCTGGTGCGTTTGCATTCACACTGCACTGTGCAGTCGAGTCAACCTGTTGAACCAACCTGTTCCCCCGCTCGCCTGTGGGGGCGCTGCACCAAGAACTACTGAAAGAAACGACACAAAAACCTCTGAAGACACTTCTTCTTCTTCTGTAAATAAAAATAAAAACGAAGTGGCATCAAGTTTTAGCAGTTTTAGGAGTTATATTTTGTCATTTTTCAAAAATGGACATAGCATGAGCAGAAGATGAGACAGAAGACCATGGAGAATATTGTTTTCCACACAAGGCAGCTGACGGCTCCATATACGGTCAGAGAAATGCGTGTTTGTTTACCCTGTGGAGCGGGGCTCGGTCTGTTTACATTCACACTGCACTCGAACCGCGCTGGAGTTCTCTTCTACCGGACCGAGACCTAGGTTTTAGCCCGGGCCAGAGTTCGCCTTTTTGTTCCGTGACAGAGTTCGATGGTGCGTTCACACCTCCCTAAACGAGCCGGACTTTCTAGGAAAACGAGCTAGAGTTCGATTAAAGCGGACTAAACAGGGCTAGTGTGAATGCACCCTTAGAGGCCCAAAGCAGATATAGTGTGCTTTAACTGATGTCAGACTAATAACTCATGTTGCCATGATGGAAGACATTCAGCACTATACAAATGGCAAAAGCATGGAGGAATTTATATGTAATCCAAGTTTCAAATGTAGTCATCGTATGAGAAATGTTCAACCAAGGGAAGATGAAATGTTTTGATGGGCTAGATCCAAACTTGAAGCCAAGGAGCAAATTCAGTTTAAATTTGGACTCTGCCATATATGTTTTAACTGCCTCAACAAAAATTTCAGTATTTCTCTTTATAGGTGTTTCCTGTGACCAGCTTGTGAGTGTAAATTAGATTATTTTAACAGTATACAACAGTATAAGGCCACTTCTATAGATGTATGATGTACTGAAGCAGTTTAGATGGAGTTTGAACCGCTCTCGTTAAAACCATATATTTATTAACATCACTAGACTTAGCCCAAGCACCAACCTGGTGAAATACTTAAAACAATACACAACATTTTACTTTGAAAATATAAGTTGCCTTTTAGGAAATGTAACATAAAATGGCTAACCTGACATAAAGTGATCAGAGCACACATGGCCAAAGTGTAGGGGTGAATCTCATAATCCATCTTTGCGAATCTTGTCAACTACAAGGATCGCCTGGTCGTCATCCCATCAACTTCACTGTTTTCTCTTACTGGTTATTGATAATGGCCATTATACAGGAGAGGCTCTTATCTCATTGTCTCATTGTATGTAAAAGCAGCTGAAATTAGTTTATATAGGGGTCACTAAGTTAACACTTGGGAGATGGGGTGAAAAATGTTGTGCTTCTGAGTACAAGTGTTTTCTTTAGTCTTGTCTTGCCCGATGTGTTCATGAGGGTGACCATCCTTAGTCATTTTTTAAAAGATTTTAACATGGCAAAATGTATCAATGCCAAAAGTAAATGAAAAATAAAAACTGCCAAGGATTGGGATTTGGTACCAAATGATATGCAGTTTGAAGCCATCGTGACGCTGTACAGTACAACCCTCCTGTCATTACAGCTGTCTGTAAAGAGTCCATTGTCTGCATGATTTAGTTGGTTTGTTGTTTTTAAAGTTAAACTGTCAGCCTGAGGAGAACTGCACTAAATACTGAAATGATAATGACTACCGGTATATTTATTTCAGGAATGTTGACTTCATGAGGCAGCGACTGAAGGACTTGTGGAAAGATGGAGTTCGATTATGTTTGGTTCCAGGCTCTGTTGGAGAACTGGCAAAGGTATGAGGAGTGTTTTTGTTATACTTATCAAGAATTTACTTTCAGATGAATGAAGTGTATTCTTCTTATTATTCTTTCGGCTTTTCCCTCTTCAGGGGTCGCCACGGCGAGTCATCCTCCTCCATCTCACTCTGTCCTCTGCATCCTCTGTCCTCACTCCAACTCTTAACAGCATCCATGTATCTTCTCTTTGGCCTTCCTCTTTGTTTTTTTCTCTTGGCAGCTGCATTTCTAACTAGGCCTGTCGCAATAAACAAATCAATTAATTGCATGACAAATGGAAAATTATCAACCTCGTTTTCATTTATCGGCTTAATCGTTTCTTCGTCTCTCTTTCTACTGAAGACACTGGACGACAAAAGGCTCAACTCCAGTGCTCTTCACTGACCCCTCCCTTTCTCCTTTCTCTTTAAAATCCATTTTAATCGTCCAAAATCGTGTTTTTGGATCGTTAAAAGCAGCTAAGCTGAGAAGCTAAGCTACGAGCTAAGCTAACAGGCTGACCTCGGGGGGGAAAAAACCTCTGTCTTGTCGAAGCTCCAAAATTCACAGTTGAAACCTGTGCCTTTGTGTAAAAAGTTGTTTTTCCTCTGCAAAAAGAAGCTGAGAACTTGTTTACTGATTTAAAAAAAAAAAAAATTATTAAAAGCTTTGTGTGACAAATGCTATGCTGAATAGCTCAAACCACACAGAGCGTCCACCATTTTGAGAATCGAAAAGAAACAGCCCATGTCACCCTCCCTCCCATTTTTCTCAAAAGAGACACGCTGCTCGCTCCCTCACTATCCATCCTTCAGTTCAGTCTTGTACTGCCATCCGGTGATCAAAAATGGTACTACATGCAAATTAAACATTTATTCTTAAATTTGACAACAATTACTAATTATTGTCAAATTTCAAACAATATTATCGTTTATCGCAATAATTTCTGAGACAATTAATCGCCCAGTGAAATTTATCGTGACAGGCCTATTTCTAACATCCTTCTACAGTGTTTCCCCTAGATAACTTGTCATGGCGGGGCGCTCATCTCGTCTGTGATTTTTGTTGACTCGAGGTGGGTGGGGGGCGAACGGAGACATCTGAGCTACGCGCTGAATGGACTGACTGTTTTCAAGTGGGGGGTGTGGGTGAGACACAGACACATCTGAGCTGCATGCTGGTTGTACCGACAGCTTGGGGGTGGTGGGGGTTCAACATGAGGGAAGGGGCGTGAGCTCAGCCTTTAAATTTTTAGCTAGCACACCTGTATTGCGCTCCGCTAGCTTAGAGCTATGTCAGTACCGACGGGTGGGGGAGGGGGTTGCGCGCAGTTCGTTAGACGGGGCGGTGCGCCCTGCTTGTGTAATGGTAGGGGGAAACGCTGCTTCTTACCAAGTGAATGAAGTGTATAGAGTGGAAAATTTTATATTTTTGTATTTTGCAGTATTTGTAAAAAAAAATTATTTATTTATTTTTGTTGTTGTTGATTAATGTCCCGTCTGTCTGCTCCAAGCTGCTTAACTGATAATTTAACTTCATTTTAGTCTCACAAATAGATTTTAAACAGAAAATCTCCAGTATAGCACATGCTGTTCACTATTCCTGATGTCCTGTCTTGTTTTTTTTTGTTTTTTTTCAGGCCATTGAGGCTTATCTGTTGCAGCTGCCCTGACAGTTATGTAGCGCTCCAAGGATGTGACCACTACTGCAGATCATAGCTGTTTTGAGCTGATAATATTGTTGCCAGAGAAATGGACTGGTTCGTTCTATTTACACTCAAACCTCTTAAGTGGGACTGAACTTGACAATTCAGACAAATCTCCATTTGAGCTGGAGACTCCTAAGGAGGGCTGCAGCAAATGACTGCTTCACATTGAAGTGGACCGTCTTGTGAAGAGGCATGTTTAGTGGATCTTACAAGACAGGGCGTTACGTCGCTCTATGAAGTGCCAATATCTTCCCTTGTTGTCTCTCTCTGCAATACTTGTGTTTTGAATGCTCTCTTGTTTTTGTGTTTGGCTCCTGGTTTATCTAGAATCAGGAACTTGAAGCTCCAGCAGTCTTTAAGGTAATAATGATTGTTTTGTTTTCGTTTTGCTCTTCCTGTGACGTTTGATCGTAAAATGTCAAAACAAGTGTTGCTTTTAATTTTCTTTTAAATAAATTTCTCTAAGAAAATCTGAATTCCCTTTATTTTCATTGTGGTGTTTGCTTACTATTTACGGAGACATGTCTGAGCGCAGCTTGTTCTAACAGTTTCTGAGTGGGGGCAGTGGGTGTTCAACATGAGGGAAAAGGCAATGCGAGTGCTGCCTTTGGCTATTTAGATAGAGAGCCTGTATTTTGTGTCGCTAGCTTAGTGATATTTCAATGCCGGGTGGGGGTGGGAGGGGTGCTCAGTTCTGTTGACAGGGTGGGGCACCCCGCCTGTATAATGGTAGGGGAAACACTGGATTTTAACTGAAAACTTTTTTACTTTTGGGCATTTGTTATGATGCGTAACCATGACAACAAGGTGTTTTTTAACAACCAGGAGCAGCTGATTAACATCTTGAAAGCTGAAATACCTCAACTACAGCATCAAATCCCAAATGAGTTGAAAAGGAGACTCCATGGACAAATTCCTGTCAACCTGACAGTGGTGCTTGAGTGCCTGACCGCCGAGGTTCTGGAGCTGGTGGGAAACTCGGCTTGTGACATCAGGAAGACCGGGATCATCCCCCGGCACCTTCAGCTGTCTGTCCGTGACAACGAGGAGCTCGGCAGACTGCTGGGAGGAGTGACCATTGTTCAGGGAGGATTTCTGCCCAGTATTCGGGCGGCCCTGCTGCCCAGGAGGACCGAGAGGCCAGCCGGATCTGACAGCAAGCTGGATCTGGGTGAACGGATCGGTATCTGTGGCCAGATTCTTTGTATTCGCTGCAGGAGATCCTTCCCACAGCTATCGGCATCTAACGATTGAATAGAACCAGGATGATGAGCTACGACAACACTTAATTTCCCTCTGGGATTAATAAAGTATCGAATTGAATTATTGGGTTCACGTCATATAGTCTTGTATTTCATGCAAGTTACCTAATATTCATTCAACCTTTATGTAAATCCCACTGAGCCTCGAGGACTCGTTTACAAGAGATATATATTTTATGAAGGTAAAAGAACCCGTAAATCCAAAGTAACAATAATGGGGACATAAACAAAATGCATTTTATTAGCTTAAATTTGTTTTAAAAACCGATTATCAACTAAAACTTCACCCTTGTCATTGTAATGGTAAGTTTGAACAATAAAGTTTTGTGAGTGACGTCATTTCCCGTAGGGACAGCTGATGCCGGATTTTTCCGCTCTTCTAACGCCTTTCCCTCGAAGACTTGTCGGCGCAAATACGCTCTGAAATCTTTTTATCTGAACAAAGTGTCGGTATGGTGCACAGAGAAAGCTTATCGCCTCTGTGGCTCTTAATGGCTACTGTTGTCGTGGTTAGCGGCTTCTCTGACATGGATTCAGGGCCTGGCGCCGGAGGATCAACGACACAAGCGAACGGAGATCGCTTCAAAATCGAGGGAAGAGCAATAGTCCCCGGCTTAAAAACACAAGACTGGGTCTCTACAGCCAGAGTTTTGGTTGAGGGTGAAGAATACGTGGGGTTTTTAAGGTAAATATCTACACTTTCATTCGAGTGCTTACTAGCCATCGTTTGCTAACCAGTTAGCTTTAGCATGTCCGCTAGCGGTTTAAATGACGCTGCTGGAACAAAGCAGCTGTAAACAATTGAGGGTGTTAATTATGCCACAAAACTTAATTTCTCGTTTTGTAATCAAAGTTTGGTGCTGTTGAACAACGTACCTCTGGCCTCCTGGTATTAAAGTTAAATGTCTCTTAAGCGAAACTTGCATCATATCAGCACGAGTGACACAGAAATACACGTTTTGATCAAATAATCCAATTTATTTTATTGAAATGCACCTAGTTGTGCTCTACTTGAATATTATTAGCTTTTGTGACCAGTTTTACTTTGACTCTGCTCAATATTTTAAAGTGAAATGCACATTTTTTGTTTATATTGTGTTGATTTCTGCCCAAAGTTTTTTTTTTTTTTTTACTCTTTTTCAAAGTGTTCAGACATGTTAAGTGCAGCTCAATGACATTCAGCAACACAGACATAAAATTTTGAATACTGATGTAAAAGTCTCATCTCATAAACGTATTTATCAGCTGTCTGAGGTTTTGTAATGGAGTTCATTAAGCTCCTTTATATAAATGAGCGACCTTAACCATGGTGACATTCGTTTGTTCCAGAACTGATGGGAGTTTCGCCGTGAACGACGTTCCCACAGGATCTTATGTTGTCGAAGTTGTTACCCCGACGTATAGGTTTGAACCGGTGCGTGTTGATATCACCTCCAAGGGGAAAATGAGGTGAGATTTTTAAGTGTTTTGAAGCCAAATAAACACATTTATGCTTCTTTTAAGTTTGCTTAGCTCTTTGATTTTCTGTTTCGGTGCAAGTGTAATCTGCAATAACTGCGTTTTCACAGGGCACGACTCGTAAACTACATCAAAACGTCGGAAGTGATTCGTCAGCCATACCCGCTTCAAATCAGGGCTTCTGGTCCTCACAGCTATTTTATGAAGAGGGAAACGTGGGGGTGGACAGACTTCCTCATGAACCCGATGGTAATTAATTAAACCTGTTGAGTATGTGACATGCAGTAAGTGAAGTAGATGTAGCATGATGGTTAGTGCAGTCATCAAAGCCCGGAAATACAAAAAATGTATTTCTCCTACATATCATAAATGAAATCATCACGTGGACATAGATTCTTTTTCATTTCTTGTTGACATAAAAACATGTTTAGACTGGACGAGGCAGATTGTTTTTGTTAAAGGTGAATGAACTGCGTCTACATTTATTTTTAAAATGTCTTTGTTGCTCCTGCAGGTTATGATGATGGTTTTGCCCCTGCTGATCATTGTTTTGCTGCCTAAGGTGGTCAACACCAATGATCCAGAGATGAGAAAGGTAAAACACACCTTTAAGATTTCTATTTTATGTGTTGTGCATAAGCACGGGCTGTTTATCAGTTTCAAGGTATAGCACGGTGTTTAAAAGTCACAATGTCAGAACTAGTAAAAAGTTTCTTTAATACTGTTTTAACATGTTTAAAACGGGAAAATCTGTACCTGTTACTCCAAGCTGTCTTTTAGTTTGTGTACAGCAGGAGAATCCTAAACTTTTATGCTCATTTAAATGTTTACTTTGGTACATGATACATTTTATTTACAAGCGTCTTCGGGACACTCAAAGAACTGTACAGCTAAAAACCAACATACAGCAGAAGAAAACAGAACAGGGTAACAAATGAGGCGACTGCTGGTGGAGTCAAACCCCTAACTCTCCCATTGGAGGACAACTGCTCTAACCACTCAGCCACAGCTGCCTTTTTAAAAATAATAACCAAACATTAACATAGAAAGGACACCTGAGTAAATTAAGGGTAGGTTCATGTAAAGAGATGAGAGAGCTGTGATGTTTTGTAGGTCAGGTGGTAGTTAGGGAGCAGAGTGGCTGAAGGTCATGCTCTCCATGGTGGTGTGGTGGGTCGAATGTACAGAGAGGTGGAAGGAGGAGAGGAGGCAGAACGTCAGGAAAATATGGAGGGATGAGATTGTAGACGGCTTTAAAAGTCTGAAGAAGAATTTTGAAGATGACACGAGATTTAACTGGGGGTCGGTGAAGCTGCTGCAGGACGGGAGTGATGTGATTATATGAGGAGGTTTTTATAGACGACGCAGGCAGCAGAGTTCTGAACCATCTGTAGCTTATGAACAGATTTACAGAAGACGCCAAAAAGAAGGAAGTTATAATAATCAATCCAGACTGTGGAACAAGGGGTGAGAGATGGATGGAGACGGTTGATGTTCTGATGGAGGAAATAAGCAGATCGAGGTACATTATTGATGTGGGACGTGAAGGCTGTTGAGGATGACACCCAGACTCGACCTGAGGGGAATTACATTCTTTAGTTGATAACACAAGAAGCAAAACCCGTCTTGTTTCAAGCTGATGCTGTTTTGAAATAAATGTTTGCTGCAAGCGTTAGCAAGTTGGCAGGTGAAATCTATACAGCCTACGGAGGCTAATAACTGATAATTAATTACTAACTTCATCTTGTCAGGTTGTCAGTGTTTATGAAAAGCAGAACAGGAAAAGTAATATTGTGCACAACGGGTACAATTACTTCATAAATAAAACATTTTGTTGACTCTGGTGTTTCAGCTGAGATATTTGCAACTTAAAATTGTTCTCAATATTTTTGTGTGATTTAAAAAAAAAAAAACAGTTTCAGTCCTAAATGTCATAAATATATTGTAAATAAAAAAGTTGGTTACAAACTGGTTTAAAATCTGTTCAAGTGCAAGAACAACCTGACATACTGAATTTAATCAATGACTCAATATTTTCATGTGTTCTCCTTTTTAAAATCTGTGCATTAAAATTGTTAAAAGTTTAAATACACATTTACTTTTATTATACTAATTTATCTTTAAAGAAATTATTACACAATATGTAATATTTGAGTAGTTAAAGTAAAAGTTATAGCATTTTTCCTGATACATGCTCAATAATCCAGGTAGATGAATCTAACCTGGTTGAGTCAGTTCCTCTGGACTGATTCTTCTTGTGGAAACTTTTATCTGCAAAACTTATTCGGTCTGCGGAGCTGCAACAAACTCAGTCTTTTAAGTCCAAAGTTTTTCTGCTCCAACAACAGTTATAATAAATGGCAGAGCAGAGTGTTTTTGTGCTGCTCACCCTTTTTCAACATGTAGGAGCAAAACTAATAAAAGCCAGGGTTCAAGGAGATGCTTGTATATTCACCAGTTTGGATGTAACTGTCATGCAGACGTTGCATGCACAATGTAATGCAGCTGAGCCCTGTATCAGGGTTGCCAGATAAATTTAAAAGGTCTTATTTACCCTCCTTTTCTGTGCACATGTTCAACAAACACAACACGCACCTCATCAAGCTTAATCAGCACATATGACAGTTTAGGTCAAAATACTATCATTTTCAGCCACAGTAAGTTAATAATTTCTTATCTGGCAACCCGACTGACATGGAAACTAGTGTTTTTGTTTAAAACCACATTTTTTGTTTATACCCCCAATAAACACTAGCTATGTTTACATGGACATAAGTAATTCGGATCAAACGGCCGTTCCGAATAAAAACGTGTCATGTAAACGCCCCGTTTGGGTTATTTTTTTGTTTGTTTATTCAATGTGAACCGAAATGATTTGGGATCAGAACGAAACGGGTGGTTTACGCCAATTCATATCCTGAACGGTGCCCATGTAAACGCTTGATCTGCTCGTTTTTATCTGATGGTGAAAAACTGACCTGACTGCGCATGTGCGACTTTGTCATTTCCTCCTGGGTAATGCTAATAATGTTAGCATGTCGGGGAAGCAAATCTGGTCTGTGAGCGACACAACATTTCTAGTAGAAACTTTGAAAGAGCTCAAAATGATCTGTATCACCTGGAGCTCAGTCAGGGAGTGAAGAAACGTCTCCACCATCATTAAAACTTGTCGCGGATCCATTTTGGGTGCTCAGGTTTGTTTACGTTTAAACCGGAAGTAGAACTTCTTCTTCGGTGATTTTATTAAGGAGAGTTTACCGCTCTGCACATGTCAGTACTGCTGTTCAGAACAAAGCCCGCTGCACGTAAACGCTCGTCATGAACAGATTGTGCTCATGTAAACGATACATTTGAATGATTTAATCTGAAAACATTTTAATACAGTCAAAAAAAATTGCGCATGCAAACATAGCTATTGAAAAAACACTGAGGTTGTTGTTTTGTAAACGGGACCACAGTCTTATAAACGGCACCTTCTCATGGTGGATCAACCAGTTTGCTGGTGACAGACAGAACTAGGTGTTCACATGGTAAAGGACCATCAGCCTAACGACCGAGCATTAGTGCTCTGAAACCGCTTGCTATTCACAGAGGGCTGAGTGATGCAATAACAGCATTGTAAGAAGGGGACAGTTGGACGGGTCCTCTTCACAAAGATGGCCTCCTTTACTCCTCTCTCAAACCAACATTCCTCTCTATCAAGGATGTGCCGCTCCAGATGTGATTTTATTTTGGCTCATCTGCAGCTCTCCGTCATCGTCATCTTTCTTTGCAGGAAATGGAGCAGTCCATGAACATGCTGAACCCCAACCCTGAACTTCCGGACGTCTCTGAGATCATGACCAAGCTCTTCTCTGGGTCCAAGGGCTCCAGCAAGGCAGGCAGCAGCAGCAGCAGCAAGGGCAGCCGTCCAGCCATCAAGAGGAGGTAGTACCACACGTCTGCTGAAAGCAAATGGCAACATCGAAGCAAGATTTTTACGTGTCATCCCCTCCCCGGATCTATTGTACAGATTTCTCTTTCAATAAAAGTTGTGAGCAAAACTTTTTTTTTCTCATAATGCACTGAGTAAATAACTTGTAAATGCTGTTATTTTCGTCTGCTCCATGTATACTCCTGATTTAAAACAGCTTTTTGTCTAATCTTTTCTGCAACAACCCTTTGTTTTTTTGCCACTGCTGCTAAATTCCTCTCTAAAGCAGAGCATATATATATATTTGAAGAGATTTACTCCATTTTCGGTTCGTTTTAATCATCCACCTGAATGAAAACAAGTTTGATTTAAAGATTCAAGAATGCCTATTTAAAATTCTATATAAATTACAAATGTACTGAACCGTTGCTTTTTTATTTCCGATCTCTCTGACCTTGTCACACGTTGAATCATTGTGCCGCACTGTATGACTTTAATTCACATACTGTACATTTTGTGCCTGAGGTGTAAACATTAGAAAACAGTCACTGGCTTTGAAAGAACTGTGAGGTTGGTTTTCAGATTTCTGCAGAGATCTGGTTTTACTTTAAAAAAAAATGGAATATAAAGTCAAAATTAAAGTTATTAACATATGGCTTTGTGTTAAATATTTCCTAACAACACCTTTATCTTTGCTTTGTTTCTAAGATTTAATCTGTTCATATGTTTAAACATGTTTTCTTGAAGATATTGTAGCCAAGTTCTCAAACATTCACAAATACTTAACTTTAGATCAGGCTGAAGGGATTCTATCAATAATTCTGTTTTTCTGAAGCTTGTGAGCGGTTCTGAGCTTCTTGTAATCAGATTCATCTCCTTAATATGATAGTAAGGCCTAACAAAACGGGAGGGGGTAGAGTTGCATTCAGGCCCAAAACGTCCGACGCGGCCTCAGCTTGTAGCCATCATTTCCGGACCCGACCTGACAAATTAACTAATCGCAGGTCTGAACCTGGAAAAAACCCAGACCTTTTTAATTATGGTAAGCTTTGACTGCTTATAGTTATTAGTGGACGTGCGGCTGAATAAAAGGGGCAGAAGATCGGAGTTGAGGGGGGTGTTTGTCCATTCATGGCCGTCAAAGAGCATTAAAACCCTGTTTCCATCTGCATTATTCAGACACGGACCCTGCTCTGACATGTCTACTTTGGGATCTCACCTGTTTGGGTCATCGGCCACGCGCGTCCGCTGAGTGCAGCGGCTGCATGAACGTCCATTAGACGGCAGTAGTCCATCTAAAGCTCAAATGAACTTCATTTTACCTTTTTCAAGGCCGTCAGCTCGTGGTGAAATGGCCACGTGCAGCTGGTGAAGGTATGGCAAGCCATGTTTCCATATAAATGGATCGCAGCTGATCCGCTGACGCAATCAAAAACGCAGCCCACCCATCCAGCACATTATCATGGCCCAGCTCGTCCTGAATTTGGGTTGGGCCGGGCTTTGGGCCCGGGTTAGAAATGACTGCTCTAGAAGGGAGTGATCAATGGTTTATGTTCATTAAATCTTTGAAAGAACTGTTTATATCATTGCATCTAAATTTAATTTTTAAATGTTTAAACGGCACATTAAGACCAAAATCATGTCTTTAAATTATTTCTGTCAACAACAGCAACGTTTGGAGCTCAGTCCTGGTCATGTCATTCGTGTCATGGTAGTGTTATATTTTTAATACTAAAAGAAAAAACAGTTTATTGAACTTTAAGCACGTATAACATTGTACTTTTTCTATATTTTCAGCAGCTGATGTCAAACTTTGGTGCTTGTTTATGCAGTCCTCTCAAATGCCACAGTTTTTGGAGTATAAACATTTTTTTTTTTATCCATGTCAGGACAGCAATGTGGACTTCTATAGCGCTGTAGTGTATCGGTTCAGATGCCTGCAGGTGGTTTTGTTCCTCCCATTAGGTGATGCAACAGAAAACACGAACAATTTAATGCAGTCATGGGACTCGTGTGGAGACTTGGGACCTGTGAAACCTCTGAGGCTCAGCAACACTCAGCCTACTGACGTGTTTTAATTGATGTACTTGTGTCTATTTTAGTTTTAATTCTGCCTTGGAATATGATTTTTTTTTTCTTTAAAGAAACATTTCATTCAGAGAACTCTGCTAAAATAAAAAACGCAGTTTGCTAATATTCCCTAGATTCAGCATCAACATGGAAGATTTTGAGTTTAGTACTTTTTTTTTAAATGAAATTTTCTTAAAACAGTTGCAGTGTAGAAGTACAACATACATTCTTAAACAATGGTTAATTTTCCAAAGTTCTCATTGTCCAGTTGTGAAGGTGGTGTATTCTTTCTTTAATAAGTCCATTTTTCATTAAACTGCACCTCTTGCAGTCTCAATTTGAGTTTTTCTATTGCAAACATCTTCCACAGTGCACAGCCACCGCTCCACGGTCTGTGGATCCACTTTATGCCACATTCTTGTGATGGCGGTTTTACTTGCTGTTAATATTTTAAATATTCATCCTCTTTTATTATGTTGTGTGTGAAATTTCCCAGATAGTGTTTTGGGTATCTCCTAGTATTTTTATCAAGCTAAGCCATATTTTATCCCAATATCCTTTTGTTTTTGTTTTTGACAAGGCCAAGATATGTGTACATGATACGCATAGCGAATGTTATTATCTCCGCAATGTTGTAGAATTGTGCCGCTCAGGGTGGCTGCGTGATGGAGTAGCTCTGTTACATTCATTCTGAGATATTGCTTTTGGAAACTTTAATTTCTGTTTTTCTGGATTCAATTCACTTTTTTAATGATTGTTTCCTCTGGAATGGATGCTGTGCAGCTGAAATGATTTTTACTGAAACTTTTTAACTTTTGGACATTTCGTTATGATGCATAACCATGACAACAAGGTGTGTGTTTTTTTTTTTTAACAAGTGCAGCTGATTAACATCTTAAAAGCTAAATTAATATCTCAACTACAGCCCCCATTCTCAAATGAGTTGAAAAGGAGGATCCGTGGATGCATTCCCGTCTACCTGCCAGCTGTGCTCCATTGTCTGACCACTAAGATCCTAAGCTCTCCTAAGAAGATCCTGGAACTGGCAGGAAACGTAGCTCGTGACAGCAGAAGGACCGGGATCGCCCCCACCTGCAGCTGGCTATCAGCAGCGATGAGGAGCTCGGCAGGCTGCTGGGAGGAGTGGCCATCACTCAGAGGAGTTCTGCCCGGCATTCGGGCAGTCCTGCAGCCCGGGGGAACTGAGAGGCCAGTCGAGACTGGGTGGACGGATCAGACAGCATCTGCGACCAGTTTCTTCGGACCCGCTGTGGGACGGACCTTTACAAGAGATCCTTCCTGCCTACAGCCATCAGCATTTATAACATCTCTTTATGAAACGAGGATAACATGTTACAACATTTATTTTCCCTTTGGGATTAATAAAGTATTACTGAATTGAACTGAATTAAAACTACTTCCTCAAACTGCCACAAGTGTAAATATAACAAAACGTAAATAAATGCAGGTTTAACGAGTTATGTGTACAAAACTAACTCATTGTTTCCATAACAACACAGAAACTACAATCTCTCCAAACAGAATACCACATTAAATAGTTTTTTTAAAACCTTTGGTAACATAAGAAAAATAACAATTTAGTCTGTATTATAAAACAAGCTGTCTGTGATATATTAAATATATAATAAGTTGTAAAGTGGCACAAATAAATACTAAAAAATGTAATGGTTGACAACTGAACAGGTTAATGTGGTTGAAATATCTTTTTAATGGAGGATAAAATAGCTCATTGGTTCTGATCGATTCAAATTACGGGGTGCTACAGAACAATTATGCAATGTTTTCATTTTAATTGCAAAATGAGCCAAGCAACGGGGGTTACTGCTAATAGTAATAATTATTATGACGATGGAAAGAATGCATAAAGAACTAGGTATAATGGCTCACTCCAGTAATTCAGAGCAAAACAAAATGGCCAAGTGTAAATATGAAAAGTGCAAAAACTTAATTTTATTTTCAAGCATGTTTTTCTAAAATAAAGCCACAAACTCTGTATTAATTTGCATCTTAAAATAAAACCACAAATAGAACTTTATTGTCCACCCAATCATTTACAGTAACAGCTGAATTTTCTGAGGCATGGTCAATATTTTACTAACAGAGGTCCAAAGTAAAGTGCCCTGACGGAGCAAACACAGGTGCAAAGCAGAACACAAGACAAACCAGTGCAAAAGTTAAAACATTGTAAACATCAGATTATTTACTGCAATATAAAATCAAAAGACAGCAGTAAAGCAAGCAGCATTAGCATCAATCAAAGTTTATTTTAGACTCATGTAATGACAAAGATAGAATGTGCAGATTGAAAGAATTGAACCAAGAATCTTAATATTTCACTGTGACTCGTGATCTCTTTTGTTTGTGTTACTGCAGTTTCTTCTGTGACCAGCTGTACCAATGAGAGGCAAAAGTCAATATAAGGTTATTTAAAAAAATCCTCATATTGTCTCTCTTTAAAATGTACAAACAAAAATCTGAAAATGTTGGGGTGTTGTGTAAAATTAAATCAAAACAGAATGAAATTATTTGCGTTGGCCCATATTTTATTCACAACAGAACACAGAAACCATCAAATGTTGAAGCTAAGAAAGTGTACCTTTAAAAAAAAAAAGTTCCTCAATGGAAAATCTTGAAGAATTTGAATATTCCATCAGTTGTAAAACAGGGCTTAATTTGAGCCAGATCCTGCCGGAACAGGTACTCTTATTTTGACGGTGCATTTCGATAACTGCTGGGATCCGGTAACTCTCAGGATTACTAATGATAAAGTTATGAACAAATATGACTGCCATGAACGAATAAAACTTATATTGGATATGTTAACTGAAAATAATTGCATAAACACTCATTTTAAACAGAACAGCCACTAACGAGCTTCTTAAGATAATATACGAGCTGCCCCTTCAAGTAAGTATTTCCACCCCTACCATTAAAAAAAATCTCCGCCCCTAGAAGAGTGGTGGGGGTGAGTGCCAAACGAGCTAACCAGGCAGTTGTACGTGGGCAGGAGCTCACAGGCTGCTGCAATGAACAGATGGAGGAGATGCCTGGAAATTTCACTGTGGAGTCGGGCAGTGAATTCAGTGGAGAAGAATCAACTCAGAACCGTCAAGTAAGGAGCAGGTGGGGTAGGATGCTTGACAGAAGTGGAGTGTTTACAAATGTAGGTAAACATAGACGTTTAACAACAATACACCAAAATGCAGGAAATCATATCTTTGTTCAAAATTTTACGAGGGATGGCCCCCAGACCCCGCCCCCAGCCGGCCCATCCACTATTTGCGTTCTGGCATCGATTTGTTTACAAATTAAGCCCTTGCTATAAACCAGATGTGAACACCATCCAGAAACGCTCTTCTCTGGACCAAAGCCAATTTAACCTCCTAGGACCTGGCATCCACATATGCAAGAGTTCAGGTCTTAGGAGGTTAAAACAGACTGAGGCAAAGTGGAAACGTGTTCTGTGGTTAGATGCACCTAAATTATTTTTGGAATTTACAGACGCCTTATCATCTGTCGTAATAGGAGAAACTTCTGGCATTTTAACAGCACACAGTTCAAAAGCCTGCCTCTCTGATGGTGTGGGGGTGCATTAATCCCTCTCAAATTAGCAGATTGCACATCTTGAAGGACGCCATCAACACTGAAATGTATGCACTTGTTGATGTTGTTGTTATGAACATAATAAGGTTCTATCCAGCCCCAGGACTTTTAAACAGCTAGAATCCTGCATCAGTCAAAAATGGAGCAACATTCCCTCCAAAAGTTCCAGCAGCTGGTCTCTTCCATTCTTAGATGTTTGCAGACTGGCCTTACATGAAGAGGTGATGCTTCACAGTGAGAAATAGGTCCTGTCCCAACTTTTTAAGGATGCCTTATTCAAAATGCCCCCATAAAATAAAATAATAGTTTCATATGTTTATTAATAGTAATAGTTTGTTAAGTTCCATTGTGAATAAAATATGAGTTTGTAAGATTTGCAAATAATTGGATTTTATTGTTATTTACATTGTAAGCAAACATTTTGAGAATTGGGGTTGTAGATTTGCAGTGAACAAAGAATGATTCAGCATCTTCTGCATCCAAATCAGCATGGACAGAAATGACTGAATGGTGTGTATGAAGTGGCAATACAGCATAAATCCTATTTCAACATTTGTATGAATACGCTAGTTTTATCTTAAAGAGAAATCCCATAAATCCTCATGGACCTTTACAAAGAAAAAGTAACGCATTTAAATAAAGTTTCCAAGTCTTGTTTTTGTTTTGGTGTTCTAACCTACATTAACCACAATGCATCCATCCATCCATCATCTTAACCTATCCTGAGGTGGGGGACACCCTGGACAGGTGTCCAGTCCATCACAGGGACACATGGAGACAAACAACCATTCACTCTCTCACTCACACCTAGAGACAATTTAGAGTTACCAATCAGTCTAACATGCATGTTTTTGATCTGTGGGAGGAAACCGGAGTACCCGGAGAAAATCCACGCATGCGCAGAGAGAACATGCAAACTCCACCCAGAAAGGTCCCGAGCCAGGATTTGATCTGGCGACCTATTTGGTGAGAGAGCTGGTGACCTTCTTGGTGAGAGGTGGCGGCTCTATCAACTGCGCCACCGTGCCGCCAACCACAATACAATTACAGACATTTCAACTGGAGATTTGTGAAGACACACCATGACGTTCAAAATAAGAGGCATGTCCGTCTTCCACTTTCAACTGTGCAAGAATGCACTGAATGAACCTTTCTTAATTTTAAGTATCACAAATAGCCACGTAGTCACTTCTAAATTCTGCCAATTGTCCACCAACATGTATTTTGACCCACAGCCGCATGCAGCACATCACGCCAATAATGACTTCTGACAGGTTCCAACCTGTGGCCATCAGTTCACTTTACTGTTGACATTTGGATTCTGCCCACCCCAGTACAGCTTGTCCTTGCCTCTCTTCCTCCTCCTCCAGCGGCAGAGCAGAAGCATGCGGAAAGTCTTCTGGAAGGTCTTGTTGCAGAGAGCGTAGCACATGGGGTTGATGGTGCTGTTGACGTAGCACAGCCAGTAGCCCAGGTGCCAGAGGGACACGGGGATGCACTCTGCGCAGAAAGTGGAGATGAGCACCATGATGTTGTACGGCGTCCATGTGAGGATGAAGGCCAGGAGGATAGCGCTGAGAGTCTGGGCTGCTTTTTTCTCTTTCACGAGCACCATCCTCTTTCTCTTGGTGATCTGGTTCTTCAGGGAGGGGTCTATAGGTTTGGAGGTGGAGGCTTGTTTTTTGGAGGGCTCCTCTGGCTCAGGAGGGCATGGTGCTGGACTTGTTGAGTTGCCGTTTTTACCCTTTGAGCCAGGTTTGAACTTATAAGAGATGCACTTTTTATGGTTCTTCTTTTGAGGAGTGGAAAAGTACTGCTCTTCTGTATAATCTGATGCTTGCCCATTCTCATTGTTTTGTCCAGTATGTTGCTCCTTGAATGAGCCTTCTGGGGTATTTGTGGAACCATGATGCTCCTCTTCCTCTGATGACGTATAGCTGTTAAAAGAAGTGATCTGGTCTGCTTTTGCCCATGCTTCATCAGACCTTATGGTAGTTTTAGTGGCGTTACTTTGATTAGACGAGGACCAGGAGGCCTGACTCTGGTCTCTTCTCTCTCTGGTGAATTGAAAACAAGAATGAATGATGGTCTTCTGTGGTTTAGCTTTTTCTGGAACGTTTTCTGTCGTCAGTCCCTGCAGCTCTGCAAGATCTTTTGTCCGTTTTTGTGTCTCCTTGTAGATCCTGCAGTAGAGAATGGTCATAATCGAGACGGGGACGTAGAAAGCAGCGATGGCTGTTCCAAATGTGATCACGGGCTCAGTTAAAAACTGGATTTGGCACTGGTCCAGAGGCACTGTTCTTTCTCCTACAAAGTACTGCCAGCACAAAATAGGTGGTGCCCAGAGGACAAAAGACACCAGCCAAGCCAGTCCAATCATGATGGCGGCTCTCTTGGGAGTCCTCTTTGCCCTGTAAGTCAGAGGCCTTGTAATAGAGAAGTATCTATCAAAGCTGATGACAAGTAAGTTCATAACTGAAGCGTTGCTGGCCACGTAATCTACTGCGAGCCAGAGATCACATGCAAGGTTCCCCAAGGACCAGTAGCCCATCAATATGTAAGTAGTGTATAGGTTCATGGACAGCACTCCTATGATTAGGTCAGCAAAGGCCAAACTTAGCAGGTAGTAGTTGTTTACAGTCTTAAGCTGGCTGTTTACGTTGAAGGACAACATCACCAGCACGTTTCCAACGATAGTTATCAAGCTAACGATGGCAGACACCGTGGCAATGGTTATGACCTCCCAAAGGTTGTGAGTTTGTGAAGAATTGCCGAAAGTGCTGTTTTGGGGATCCATTATCTTGTGTTGTCTAGTTGTGTTACACATGAAAAAGATAATAATCAGCTGATGGCCTAAAACCAAAAAAGAGAACAATGGTGAGATATAAAAATGCACAGAGATTATTATTATTTAAATTAAGCAATCATTATAATTTTAAACAAATAGAAACATGGTGCAAGGCTAAGACTTAAAATGTCAATTTTTTAAATAAATCTAACTTGACAAACTTGAAATTACTTTACATATTATTTCAAAGTCAAAGTTTCTTTATTTGACATTTTAATTATGAGAATAAACAAACAAAAATAAATAAACAAAATAACTGTATTGATCATTGTTTTACCATGTGTGGACATTTCCTGTTATCAATTTTCTTAGTTTTGTGATACTTTTATGTACATTTAGTTTTGACAGATGGAGGTTTTTTTTTTACCTTGAATTAACTTGATCAAACATTTGACTTTTGTAATCAAGCGACTGTAAAATACTAAATAAATTGTATGGAAATAATGGTTTGCCTTTTATACACTAAAATATATCTATAGAATATTTAAACTAAACTAAGTGACTGTTTCGAATATTTGCTGAGCAAAGAAAAGCCAAAATATTTGCGGGACACTATTCTATGTAACACCCGCATCGCTTATTTTGCGGTGTCACACACTAAGCCGTCCCCTACTTGCAACAAACATGGAAGGTAAAATAAACCGAGGCAGAGGAGGGAGCTGGAAGAGAGGCGGCCGGGGTGGAAACGACGCCGACGGTGAGCACAGAGGCCGGGGTAGAGGAGGCCGCGGCCGAGGCAAACGGGACCACTACCGGGGTCGTGGACGCGGAGGAGTTTCCCACGCGGAGTTCCCTCAACGGGTGAGACAGCGTTCCACCGACAACTCGAAGTCGCCACACCAAACTTCACTATAAATTTCAACAAATTTTGTAATACTTGACAGTCAGCGAAAAAAATCACAATCCAAGCAAAATTAGAAGTTCAAACATGTTGTCACCTTTAATTCGGCCTTACTAGCAAACGTTTACTGTGTAGTGTTTCTGCTAAATGAGCTTTAATGAAACTAATTAAACTTTATTTTTTGAATGTCCAGAGGACCAGATTTCACTTTTTTTTTTTTAGATTTAATGAAACTAGTTTACATTCTTACAGTATTTTCACAGGTGCAAAACCAGAGGATTTGATATGACACCATGGCTGCAGCTTTATTTCCACACTGATGTTCAGGATGCTCCACTTTAAACAGAAACAACAGGGGCTCCTTTGATTGCAATCATAGAAATAAGTTTTGGTGCGTAGGGTCTCCTTGATTGCAATCATGAAAATCTCCCTGGTGCATCCACACCTACCATGTGGTCTTTAATGACATAGCTGGGTGGGGGTGCACCATTTGTTTGACTTTTGCTAAATCACATGAAACATATAATACACAGTTTAAATTGACTCATGTCTCACATTTCCATGGCACCAATTATGAAAATGTTTAAGATAAGCATGAAGAAACCTACAAATCGGATGAATTTATTGTGTCCAGTTTTGGCACTAACCATCAAATTGACTTGTCATGCAGTAGCATTATTTAACTTAAGCATTTTGTTAGGCTTTATAGTCATTACTGAAAGGCATGTGTTAATGGGAACTTAACAAAATGAAGTTATAGTATGATAACGGTATTTATTCTCTACATTTGGATCTACACAGAAGTCATACTTTAAATGTAAAATGTTCTCCTACTTTCGTATATTTTCCAACCACAGTCTCCTCAATTATCCATGAAGTAACGGGGATGGTGGACCAAGACCAGAACCTACAATTAATCTTTTTGAACACCCCCAGGAGAGCCCAAAACATCTTACTAAACCAAATCAACTCAAAAGTGTACATACATGAATCTGCACACATCATCTTAATGCTTATGTGCTTAACTTTTTCAGTGATTATTCTTGAATGAGAATTTTCTGCACAAGATAAAACAATAACGGCTGATGAGACTAAATACAAATGTTTAGGGAATAAAACATAATTTATTACCAACTATTTTTGAAATGGTTTAACATCTCCCAAGTCAAATGAAGATTCTTTAATATACTGACTCGATATACAACAGCAAAACAGCCATCTTGCACATTGTCATTCAAAAAGTGATAAATATCTGTGCATTGCTTCATTTTTAACATATTATTGTTTCTGTCTATTATACACTTATAAATTATCTTTCCATTCTGCTGTTGTCTTTAAATTTAAAAAGATAACTGTAGAAAGTTGAAATTATTTTTGAACCCAGAGCTTTTAATTTTTCATTGTTTTTTTTTTAGCTGTATTGTTTCTCAACTTGCTTGTTGGTCTTTTATTTAAAGTTTTTGGCTCAACAAGGGGACCCCCCCCCACCCCCCCCCCACACACACACA